ATGACTAGGTGCTGATTTATGCAAGGTCTAATTGTTCTTTCTATTTTTAGCAGAAATTAGTTACCTGAGAGACACACTAATCACACTAAGACATTCCTGTCTCATGAATATTAATTTCATAAAGAAGATGTTTGTACTGAATTTAGGTGGAAAAAACTACTACACTTTTTCAAAAGTTTGTGAAATCTGTAACTTGGCCATTTCTTTACTTATGTAGGAAAAAACTAGGACAATGGCCAAGAGCTGATCCTACTACTTTTGAGATTTGGTCAGGCCCATTCTTACAGTATAGAATCCCGAAACACTGTCATTTACATCTTTCATTATGCACATTAAGCAACTGTTTCCCATCCTGGTTCTTTTTTATGTATTTTTTACTTGTTCCCCTGAATATTTTAATAAAATTTAACAGGGAAGCTTTACCATTGGTGGACTCTCCTGCAACACCAAGCCTTGATCCAAAAATGTTGCATTGTTAATCTGTTGCTTTATGAATCTCCAATTGTCCTCTGTGCCATCTTGATTGTTTAGTGTCAGCAGGTGTGTTTTTTATTACGTATTCTGTTCAACAAAAAATATTTGTGTGTGGTTGGTAGCAGTGAACAATTGACATTCTTTTACTTTCTCTGCTGTAGTTGTTGTCCTCACCTATTTGCACAGTCCCTGTCATAGCGTGCCATGTACCACCACGGTGCAGTAGACCCATCCTAGCATGGCTAACGATGAGGGGAGCAGCCTAGTTTTTTCTGACATGCCCGTGGCCTAACTGTCACTTCCACTAGGTTGTCTATAGGGCAGAGAGACTTTGCATCCCAGCCGCTAACGTTTTTGCTTGTTCTGATTGGTCAGGTTGTAGGACCACCAGGTACTGGAAAGACGGACGTTGCTGTTCAGATCATCTCAAACATCTATCACAACTTCCCAGAGCAGAGGACCCTCATCGTCACGCATTCAAATCAGGTTAAAAGAACACGCACAAACATTCACAGGCAATGCTTTGAACACGAGCTGAACTCTATGTGGTTTCCTTAAGACTACAAACAATAAATATGTCTTCACAACTTCACATGTTTACAGTTGATGTAACCAATGATTTATTTCTCAACAGGCTCTGAACCAGCTATTCGAAAAGATCATGGCTCTGGACATCGATGAACGCCACCTCCTACGTCTTGGCCACGGTGAAGAGGAGCTGGAGACGGAGAAAGACTTTAGCAGGTGAGAACAGGTTGAGGGAGAAGAGACATAAACAGACGTACCCTTGTGATTTTTTTATATTTGTTCCATTGTGTAGCGGTTAGCATGCCTGCCTCGGTAGCCGAGAGCAGAGGGTCCTGGGTTCGATTCCCAGAGGATCATGTAATACTGCACTGCACGTACACTGTACATGCACTGTCTATTGGTTTGACCACAGTGAAAACTGACCCGATTGACCCAACATCTTTTGTGCAAATTACTTAATCTGTAGCATATTATTCCAATTCGTGACTGGTTCATCTGTACAACTTTGGGCCTATTCAGGCTGCCAACAGCCAATTTTAACAAATTTGTCTTGTCGTCTGAGTGTTTGCATCAGTAAAATCAGTGTACCAGCAATTCGAGAAAGTTGCAATTAAATAAAATTTGAATGCATTAGTTTGTCTGTAATTAGTTAATCAAAATGAAGAATGTTAGTGACAGTTATTCGCCACTGCAGTGAAACTAACCCCTGAACTTCTAGTTCCACTAATTCACAGCTGTGTATCTGTTTATCAATAAAATATATAAATATGTTTTCTTTGAATCCAAGCTGCACTTGGGCTAAATCAAATCTGAAGCTGTGAAGTTTCAGGGTTGGTATTTCATTTATTTATACTTAGAAACCCATGCCCACTCTCACTCCGTTCACATGTCAGTTTTCTATACATAGCTAACCGCAGACTTAATATTATGAAGTTTTAATGTGGTTACTATTTTAGGTTCTCTTATAGCTGACTTTGTTAATTACCTCCTTATCCATCTTTGGCACTGAGCACTTTTCTCTCCTTATCTCTTAGCAACACAGGGTGGGAGGGGTTTCCACTGACTGTGTCCTATTAAATGTGAGCGATGACTTTGGTATGAATTGTAATTGCAAAATACGAGAGCAGTGGTCTGCAAAAGGAGAGCAGTTGTTTTCATTCTTAAATGAAGCAGAAACACTACAGAAAGAACCGAAGCTGGTACTATTTAATATGTTCCTGTCTGCCAGGCTGTGTCAAAACAACATGCAGACTCCACACTCCTCCCACTCCTCTGACAATAGAGAGGGTTCTAATTAACGCTGTATACGATATGAAAAATGGAATGCAAGAGCTTCTCAGAATACCTGACACAGGAAAAGCAGCAGTGCTATTCATTTAAAAAATATCCTCTCCTTCCCATTTCATGAATAATTGTTTTGCTTTGACTTTGTGAGAGCAATAGAGTGGAGATCACATTTAAAATTCATTGTTGACAGCATCTACTTTTACCTTGGTTTTGATAAATTTCCATGGCATTAATTAAGGGTTTGTGACTCAAAAGAACTGGGTGCATTCCAGGTCTGTCCTGAAGAGCAAGGTGACTCCCAAATTTGGTTCTTGGCCCCTTTTTTCCAAGGCACATCTTTGTGGTCGTCTTTGAGTCATCTGCTGACTGTGGATCTTTGCTCCTGGTCTAAAAATAGACTTCACCTCCAGTACTTCATGACCACTCCTACTTCCTGTGTCTGTGTGTCTGCGCATGTGTGTTGGTGTTGATGTGTTCATCTGCTGCTTTCTTTCATAGCCATCTACTACTTGCTGTTCAGCAGCACAAGAGGATGGCTGGATGAGAAAACCTGAAAGCCTTTTATACCTTTGACAACCTTTAACAAGCCTGTCGACTCAAGCCTTGGGATACAAGTGGCATTTATAATAAAAATATCCTCACAAAGTAGTACCTGTTCCCAGGTGACTGAATTCTGAGCACATTTACACTTTGATTAAGGAGAATACACCAAAGACATTTGTACCTAATGTCACACAACAACCCCCCTCACATTGAAGATCTAAGACTAATGTTGAGCTCTATGCTTTTCTACCAGTACTCCATTGAGCTTCTTTTAAAAGGTTGTTATTCCTACAAAAGTGATATTCTCAATTGACAAATGAAAGCCCCCGACAACAATTTTTCAGTTTATCGATATTTTCTTACACTACCCTAGTGACTAAAATGATGCCCTGCCCTGTCTTTTTCCAGATATGGAAGAGTAAACTACGTTCTGGCCAGAAGGCTGGAGCTCCTCAGGGAGGTGGGGAGGTTGCAGGAGAGCCTGGATGTGCCTGGAGATGTCTCTTACACCTGTGAAACTGCTGGACACTTCTATCTCTACCAGGTAAGGTTAACACTTATTGCATATGGATAAAATAATTTTTTCCTTTGACATCTTTGTTTTGCTGCAAGTATTCCACTACAATAACAATCCATAAAATATGCCCAAGATTATGATTTAATCTCTGGTTTGGTGGGATTATTTTAAGTAGAAGCTCTCTAATGTGCATTCTGTTCTATAAACATTTAGTTAATGTTTCCAGCACCCAGACCCGACTCTACTTAGATGTACTGTGAATTCATAGAAAAACCTACCTCTAGCTGTTAATTTCCATCTCCTGAAGGTCATGATCTCCTCAGGCTGAAATACTGCCTGATACGAAACGTAAAACAAGCACAGCTGTGAGAATTGCCACTTTTCCTGCTTAAAGTCACAACAGTCCAATTAACTCAGCATTCTTTAAAGGTCAGAGATATCTAACCAGTATTGGTATCGGACCTAATACCTTATTCAAATACTCACAACCTGATACACTCTAATGGCTTTTTACCACAACCAGCTGTGCACAGGTCAGCCAGTTGTTTGTGTTGTCTCACTGCAGCTCAGTGTCTTAATGTCCTCCTGGGTAGTTTATAAGTAGGTCGACAATGTCAGCAGTTTGGACAAATTTTAACATTCAGGGACAAAGACAGAAGCAAGACTTAGTGTAAAATTTGTTCTGTTACGACGCTAAATATTCAATAAAACTCTTGAGGACTCTCTGGTAGTTTTGTTGCACCAAAGACAGTAATTTAGTCTTCACTAAGTCACTTTTTTAGATTATTAGATTTAATTATAATCATCTACTATTTTATGTTTTAATTTTTCAATCTTGATTTCTTTGATATATTTTCCAATATAACAACACTGTTAGTTTGAAGGCATTTTGTTGCCATTTGGACTATCTTAGTCTACTGTCAATGAAAGGAAGATAAAACTAGCTGTAATGTTTTCGTGGCTGGTGTCCTCACTTTGGTTTCAGTTGTGCTCCAGTACACTGCCTTCCAGTTCATTGCATTTTAACTTATTATTAGCGAAATCACAACATACTCATATTTGTATTAGTGTGTAAATGGTATTTAGTCAATGATGGGATGGAACCCGCTCCATTCAAATCACTTTCTTCTACGCCATTGCTTAATGGACATGTCCTTCCAAATATTGTTACCTGGTTATTTCCAGTTTTTGGTTCATGTCCTGTGTGCTCTCAGGGGAGCGATGTCGGAGAGCTTCTCCGCGCTTTATATAGATGTGAATAATATTTCTGTGATTTAAAACGTGTGAAAGTCCAAGTTTGTGTTCTGTTGCCTAAAAGTTTTTTGGGTTTTTTTGTTTTTTTTCATGATTGATGATAATGAGATTCTTGGAGACACGCTTTAGGTTTGGATGTTGATTTTAATTGTCCGTACAGCCAAATACTTAACTAACAATTAGGGCTAAGTCCTCCAGCAGCCTCATTATTGTGTGTAATGCTGTTTTTTTCCACTATGGTATTTATAGAACTAGACCCTCCTGCTGCTCTGCATGAAGCTGCTTTATCAAGAGCTCTGTGGGGACACCTCTGAAAGAATGCAGCTTTCTGTTCTCATTTGTTCAACTGCGTGTAATGTAGTATAAGAAAAGTTTGTAAAGCACAGTTAAGACAGTGTATAGTTGTTTTGTTTTTGTTTTTTTGTTTTTTTTACACAACCTTAAATCTGACAGTTATACTAACTACACTAACATTATTCAAGCTTTTAATAGAGGTTAAATAAAAGATGAAGATGAAATAGAAGTAGATCAAAATAGAAATATCTTCATCCTTTGCTCTCTTTTTATTACAGGTGATCTCTCGATGGGAGCAGTTCATGAGCAAAGTCAGGCCTAAACAGGGCAAGACAGTGGAGGTCAATGTCGTGGCTGAGTCTTTCCCCTTCCACAAGTACTTCTCCAACGCCCCGCAGCCCGTGTTCAAGGGACGGACATACGAGGAGGACATGGACATAGCAGAGGGCTGCTACCGCCACATCAAGAAAATATTCACCCAGCTGGAAGTAAGAGCACGTACACACAGGCCTGCCTCCCTTAATGTTATTCTGAAAAGATATGTCTTATTAACAAACAGTGCAACACGGTTTTTGTGGCATACAAATTTAAGTCGAGATCTTCTCCTTAAAACCATTGAATTGCACAAGAAACACCAAGACAGATAGTGAGGTTCTGCAACCCTTTTATTAAAGGAGCGGCAACATACCCACAGACATTCTTGGAAAGAAATGTTATCATATTTATAAACTTGTTTTAGTATTCTTCTATAGGGATAACAATAACATTTCAGCTTTATGGGAACACCCGAAAGGGCTTTGGAAAGCAATAAAAAGTTATGAGCTGGGGGTGACATGCCAGCACATGTGGTGACCTTGATTTATCTGTATCACTGCATCACAGCACATTCTCCCGCCTTTCTCCTCTCTCCTCCCTCTCCTCCCTCAGCCTCACCCATGCTGCAGTGAAATCTGTACACCTATTAAGAGGTATCACTGTCAGTGGTGCAGGGTGGGGAGGGAAGGGAGAGGGGTCAGCATTCTGCTGAATTCACCCATTTGTTTGTCATTTAATTTGCGAAAGCAGTTGAAATGAGTCGTTATAGAAACATCCTATTAATGTATTGACCAGCCAGAGAGGATACACAGATCCTCCTGAGATTCTTCTCTGTTAAATTTCTCTGCAGTTTCATCACACCTTCACTGTGTCCTCTTTCCTTTTCCCCCTAACTGACCTTGAGTCCTTCACCTTCTCCATTTCACCCTTTAACCATTGTGGATCCAGAGAGGTTAAAAATAGACCTTATCGATATTGCATGTTTTGATTAGTTTAATATACTGCAAAATAGTACCGTATCAATTATTTATGTCCCAGTACTGTCCGAGTCAGTTTTCTCACATCCTTCCCTCCTTGCTGCCATTGTACAGCTGCTGTGGTAATCTGAGAATAGCATCATTGTTTATCTACATCCTCATTCTCAGTAGCTTTACATACTGTCCTTGGCCCAGCTCCAGTTAAAACCCTTTTAAAAAGTCATATCTTAAGGTGTTTCACAAGACCGCTCTTTGCCAAACTGCTATTTTAATTGGTTAACAATAACATTAGTTTTAACCGAAATATATGTATATATTTTATATATATATTATGGCTGGATGAAATATAATATAATTAATCTTTAATCATGTTTCATCCACAGTAACCTTATTTGTTTGACAGCACTGTTAGGTCATGTTAGTCAGCACTATGATAACACTGCATCCCAGTGGAGTCAGAAACAGCTTTATAAATACTGCACACGTTTGATTGATCTTTGGTTCTCGGGTTGTTGGTGAGGCTGTGATGGCTATGTTTCCGACTCTTATTTTTTTCTATCCTTAAAGGAATTTAGAGCCTTCGAGCTGCTGAGAAGTGGACTGGATCGTTCCAAGTATCTGCTTGTGAAAGAAGCCAAAATCATCGCCATGACCTGTACACATGCTGCACTTAAGCGCCATGACTTGGTGGAGCTGGGTTTCAAGGTAGACTACCCTCAAGATAACACAAATATATTAATGTATATATGACTTTAATTGTATGTTGCCAGTTTAAGTATTGTTGCTAAATTATGTACTTTTTCATTAGTATGACAACATCCTGATGGAAGAATCGGCACAGATCCTGGAGATTGAGACCTTCATCCCTCTGCTACTACAGGTCCCTTGTGGAAAAATATGTTTTTACACCTCATTCATATTTAGTAGGATTTAAAATATAAATAAATGTTTTTGAGAATTTGTTGCAACTTTCAAGGTAACAGCCGACTAAACTTTAAAACCTACTAAGGTTTCCTTGTTCTGCTACTTTGTCTATAAAGACGTGACAGATGGATCCCCTGCTCCCTAATGGTGCTCTTTTTGCTACTTGTGCCTAATTGTGCGAGATAGCACTGATGTCTGTTTGCAAATGAGATCATTAAGCACATCAGCTCCAACAACAAGTTTACCAGAGCTTTTGTCTTTATCGCTCCAACGACCCACAGGTCTTCAGCTAGGTGTAATGCACATCGAAAGTCATCAGTAATTTTACTTCAAGCTATCTGTTAGTTTTTATTGCTTTTCTGATAAAAAAAATCTGTCAAATTGCAAAATATAGGAGTATAGGACACCCCACAGTAAATACATCTGGTTTCTATGTTTTAATAGCAATACGTAACTAGAAAAAGTAATAATATTTTACAATTTATAGAATTATGTGATAAATATTTTACATACATGTTTTATGATCTTTTCTATAGAACCCAGAGGATGGTTTCAGTAGATTGAAGCGTTGGATCATGATAGGAGACCACCACCAGTTGCCCCCTGTCATCAAAAACATGGCCTTCCAAAAATATTCCAACATGGAACAGTCTCTCTTCACCAGATTTGTCCGCCTCGGCGTGCCGACCATTGATCTGGACGCACAAGGCCGTGCACGTGCGAGGTTAGTGCTTTCAACAAAACAAAAAAGTTCCTGACATGCAAAAAAATGCTCTTAAATCAGTGGGCTTAACCGCATTTTAATTCCAACCATGGTTTCCTCACTCACGTTTTTTTCTCCTCACACAGTTTGTGTAACTTGTACAACTGGCGCTACAAACACCTTGGGAACCTGCCACATGTTCAGCAGCTGCCTGAGTTCCAGGTTCCCAACCCTGGACTCACCTTTGATTTCCAGTTAATTAACGTGGAGGACTTCAACGGGGTGGGAGAAACCGAGCCCAATCCTTACTTCTACCAGGTCAGTAATTCACCTCACAGTAAACAAGTGAGGTCTTACACTTTCAGTTAAACTAAGTGAACAACACAGCAAAGCACCAAACACAAGACCTCACTTATTTAGCTGCTCATCGGCCAACCCACGACCCACCCATTGCACCCAGCTACAATCATATGACTCCTGGCTTCACTTTGCAGCGTGTTTTTGTATTGCTTTGTACTCACTCATACACATTTGTTAATAAGAATATTAATGAGTTAACTGTGTTTGAATGATGTGGATTCTAATTCTACCCCGTATTTGTAATATTGCTTAATGTTTACATTTACCTTCACATTTAAATTATTGCTCAAAATGTACATTTACCCTAAATCTCACTTTTTTCTATTTTAATTATTTACTTTAATGTTTAAATATTCTTTAAACTTCTACCCTTATTTTTACTTTTCATTAAAATTGTATTGTATACAAAGTTCACCAATTTAACATAATAATTGTACTCCATTATAATTTTAATTTACAGCACTTCATAATTACCACTCTGATGTTGAGAGCATGCAATGACAGCAGAAATAGGCTGTGTTACAAAATACATGTCAGCTTCCAGACTCTTAACTTACTCTCACATACACATGGATACACACCTAAATCTTCAGTTCTGTGTTCTTCCTCTCCATTTCCTCCAAATTGCCTAATACAGAGAAGTTCATTCATTTTTAAAATGCAATTGTTCATCTCCCAGTCTGTATGATATATTAATAACCCTTTTGATCTGGAGCTTAGACTGGCTGCTCAGCACAGACCAGGGGCTTTGTCCTTCACACCAGCAGGGAGATTGTGTTTCACTGTAAAATTGCTGAGATAATCCAAACTCTGTTTGTGTTGGCAAAGGGTTTAGTGAACATAGGGGTGTATTTTAAAAAAAATGAAGCACTTCTGCTTGAATATAAAAAACTTCCAGGCGACATCATTGTAAAAATTCCTGATTTGTTATGTTAAGACTAAATATTAATATGAACTGTTTTATAAAAGAAATTGGTTTGATAATGGAATAGCAATATTTTTTATATATATAGTATTATTAAAAGGTTTACAAAAGGCCACGACAATGGTTTATTCATAAAACTTATTCAGATTAGTTTATATCCCAATGCATTGGTAGTGCACACTGAATATCTGTTACTGCTGAACAAACACCCAACAGAACCCTCTTTATAACCTGAGCTTAGTAAAAGAACATCCACCACAAACATGAGGGCACACAGTCTGGAGTCCAAAAATCTACTTTGTCCTTCTTTAGCTAATTTGCTAAAGTACTTAGTCTGACCGCTTAGTCTAAAACTTACCAAAGCTGCCAGACAGAGAAGATGCACACAAGCTATGCTACTTTGGGCTTTTTTGCTTTACATGCTAACCTTTAAAATAGAACAAAATTAAATGTTCTTACTTTTTAAATTAGATAGATAGAATACTGGACTTTTTTGGACAATTTAAAAAATATAAACCATTTCCCAGATATGGTCTTGCTGGTGTAATACATCGCGTGAAACAGGTGATGAAGGTCTACAAAGGCTATCGGTGTTTTTGATGTTGAGTCTCTCCTCTCCTCTCTTCTCCTCTCCTCTCCTCTCTTCTCTCTCTCTCTCTCACACACACACACACACTCTCTCTCACACACATCTGGACCCAGAGCAGTTGATGAAGCTGCATAAATATTTATCAAAGACATGAGGCTGCAACCATGGCTTAACTGAAGCTGCATGAATAATGTAAACTGCTTTCCTCTTTTTGGTCACATTTGAAGGAAAGGCTGTGGCCTTGTTTGCAGCTATGTTGCAGATGAATTCATACTGATGGGTTTGTTTCCTAATTACTGTTGTACAGATTTAAATAATAGCTGATGGCGTTCACCTTGACCATAAGTTACCCTACCTCTGCACTTTTTTTAAATGAGCCCACGCTAAGGATCTTTTGTACTTCAAAGGTAGATGCAAACGCAGTGTAATTAAGTCAAAGTCGAATTACTATTAACGTGGAAATTACAGATTTGTACAGGCAAAAATACACATTGTTTTTCCCCCTCACTTAGCGTTTGAGCCACAGTCAGGATTTGCCCTTCATCCTCTGTACATCTGTGCACACCAGCCCACAAAGGGACCTGTCTGGCTATTGGTGTCACACTCTCTGAGGTGATTAACTCCAGCCCTAAGCAGATGGCTACTCATGATGAATGAGTAGGCTTTTATCTACCTGGAAACTCAAACACTTGACACAGGAGAAAGGGATTAGAGGGAGATGTGACGTGGACAGTAGAAAGGTCTCAAATGTCCATTTTGGGATGGAAAGAGAATTGTCAAGTGTTGGTGGTTAATTAATCTCTGAAGCATTGAAAGCTCCACACTGTTAATGGTCTCCAAGGGAGGGCAGGTTTATTTCTTGAACATTAACACACTTTATGTCACTCTAAATAATGCAATAATATTGGTATCTGCGCTTCTTTATCCCACTGTGTAGAATCTGGCTGAGGCGGAGTACTGCGTGGCCCTCTTTATGTACATGCGTCTCCTGGGCTACCCCTCTGACCGCATCAGTATTCTTACCACCTACAATGGACAGAAACACCTCATCAGAGACGTCATTAACCAACGCTGTGCTGGAAATCCATTCTTTGGGCAACCTAACAAGGTAGGGACACACGTGCACCACATGGCAACTTAATACAGAAACATCTCGGCTACAAAGACAGTCCGTCCCAACCATGACATATTTTTTCTCTTTATTGTGTCCGACAAGATTGGTACTAAATGCATTTTGTTGCTCTGATCCTGTAGTATCTGTAGTGACAATTGAGTTTATTGTCATCTTATCTAATGATCAGATTCTTTTTTCTTCAAGTACCACTGACATTAAAATACACCAGCAGAAGCCTGTTCTGTCTAGCTAACCCTGGTATACAAAGACGATTTATCAGCCAAAGCCGCACTGAACAATCAAAGTAGAACCACAACTGGTACTTCAGTTTACTTTAAAATAACCCCACAGACATATTCACAAAACAGTCGTATTGAAGAACTACGTGACTCCCTGAATCCTAGTCAGAAGTGGGAGCCGACGTACCACCCAAGGTCTGCGTGCCCTAGTTTGAAAACTACATTCCATGTAATTATTGTCACTGTCTCCAGAGATCTCATCACATGAGAGCACACATTTTAGTTCACAGCAGGTCCGTATTAACATTTATGTAAATGTATGTGAATTTCTTTTGTACATTTTAATTTTGTTTTTTAGCTGCTAATGAAAAAGATCACATCAGCATCCATCTTCTTCCTTGCCTTTTAGAAAATTGTGTGTGTATGTGTGTAGGAGTCAGACTCCACTTGAGTACAGTTTCTTCACACCTCTGCATTTCAGCTGCTGTCAATTCTACAACCTCATTCCCCATTCCCGTGAGAAAGAAAGTCACAGCTCTCACTTCTCACATTCCTCTCGCTGCTAACACACAAATGCACTTGTTCTCTTTACCTGTGCTATTTGACAGACCTTTTTTAACAGTTGGCTGCCTTTGTTTTTGCACTATAGCATAAAATTCTGTCAGTTTCCCTGAATCTGTAGAAGATTTAAGGGGTGAAAGGTTAAGCGGTCCACAAACATTCTTTTCAGTTTGAGCAGAGCATCAAATCATCCGACCATAACGACTGCTGCAGGTCATGAGACCCAAATAGAGCAGGACACTGCTGAGCCCTGGATCTGCATCAGCACACATACCAGCCCTACTGCATACTTCTGCAAATCCGATTCACTGTGTTTTTGTGGTAAATGGTTTAAATAAGAGTGGATGTTCAGCCCTGGAGGATCGCTCTTCACTTGTCTTTCTCTAACCCGTGTTATTTCTTCAAATTCCCATTTTCTCCCATCTCCCTTTTCTTCCTTCATATCACATTGAAGTCAGCAAAACACTGACACACTTTCTCATCCAGATCTGTTTGTTCTGCCAAATGTTTTCTTACCCACTAGCCTGAGGTTACGCTTTTCTCTCTTTCTTTTTTCCCCTTTTTGGATTTTCTTACTTCTCTTTTTCTTTCTCTCCACACATTTAACACACATTTAACATGTTACAGAGAGACATTGTTTAGCTAATAATTTGAAATATGCCTTTTGGAGTATTTAAACCCAGTTCTTACATTGGTCTTAGCAACCTTTTTAAAAAGACCTTTGTGTAAAGGTAATAAAAACAACAAATGATGTTTGTAGATTATACTAAAATACATTTCTCAGGGCGCATTTCTCAAGTGTTTATGAAACAACGCTATGCCTAGAATTCTTCAATAAAATTGCTTCTGCTCACGACAGCCCAGTTTCTAGGCATCTACACACGAAAAAACGCTCCCCTGTTTCCACAGATATGCATGTGCTACGATGACATGACCTCTGTGCTTTATTCCGTCATAAATAAATAAACTCCATGCAAAATGCCAAGCCCTGGGGGCGCTCTTAGGCTGGGATTCACTGTCACCAGCTTTGGAATGAAAATAATCCCTTCACTTAAACTTCTCTTTCAGCTTCGATCTGAAGCTAAAGCAGGTCTTTTCATTTTTCTGTTTTCATACCAAAGAGTTTGCATTTGTTTCTCTGCTATAAATCACAGAATGTTTAAAACTAAGAAGTGACCTGATGAACACCCAACCCCTCCACACCTCATGCTCATTGTAAAAGCCAACATATTGTTGCCTCTGGTGCTGCACCTGTTCTGCATAGCAACAGGAAGACCTAAATAAATATTGGCGTACTACCTCATTATCTCTCTATTTACAGTTTCTTTCACATCCTTAGTCTCTCACCTCGTGTCGCCTTTCTGTTATGTAAATGAGGCTTTTGAAGATTTTGATACAGGAAGTTCCAGGTCTCGCATATTACCAGAGCCCCACCTCCTGGCTAATTTTTGCCCATTCTGTTTTCATGGACACAGACAGCAGTGTTGTTGGTGTCAACACGCGGTGATTATAATCCACTGCACTGTGCTTACTGTACGAGAATCGCTGCTGCCATTTCTGGGTTCATGATGAATCCTAAACAACAGTATTTTTTTTGTATAAAGACAAATTGGCTGACTTAGTGAAGCCACAGTCTGATGTTCTGCGTTCTTAGTCTCGCTGAAATAATCTTTGTTCCGCTTGAGTGGTTTATCATCAGTTTCTTGTTCCTGGGTCGCGGGTTAGAGCCAAGGTGGGGAAACATTTCCTTTAGGCTGCATTAGCTCTGCTGACTCCCCGTGTGGCCCACAGTGATAAGAACAGTAACAAGAACAGCGAGGGAATTAAGTAGCAAAGAGAACATTTGAATTAAGTCCTTGTGTATCCTCAGGCACCAAACCTCCTCCACGTCTCCTGTGTACTGGTGTGTTGCTGTGTGTTGAGTGACGAACATTTCTGTTTGTCCCTGCAGGTGACGACAGTTGACAGGTTCCAGGGTCAGCAGAATGACTACATCATCCTCTCGCTGGTCCGCACCAAAGCCGTGGGACACCTCAGGTAATTACTTCACTGCCTGCCAAGCATGAAGAAAAGAACATGACCTGAAACAGACACCTTCAGCTTATATTCTCCTTTCAAAGGTAGCATTGTATAAAGACGACATATCCACCAGGAACACCACTGAAGTCAAGTTTATTACTCTGACATTACATTTCCTAGAGCTGCATGGCATCGACATGTGCTTGATTTTGAATTTAGTTAGAGACTAATTGGAGCCACAGACTGTGAAGTGTGCTTTAGGACAGGAGAACGTGTCTGTGGCCCTGACTTTACCTTTCAGCCTGGTTAAACAAAGCCTTTGTGCTGTGATGATTGGATGGAGAATATCAAACAGAGCTCAGCTCTGATCAAAGGGATTAAGACGCACCATGGGAAATAGGCTGCAGCCATTGGTTTCATTTTATTCTGTAGTCACCATCTTTTACCGTTTTTGCCTTTCTATGCTCTTTAGTGTCTGACACTTCCTCAGTCGTTTGTATAAGCATTTTCAAGGTTATGTTCATGTTTCTTAATTTAGATTTTTTTCAAACACATTCAATTTAAATGCAACCAGAGCACTATATGAACAGGTTACGGCTCTGAAGACAGTTATGTCTGTGTGTGTTTGGTTTATGCTTATCTATTTATCTCTATTTTTATTTTGTGCCAAACACTGATCAGACAAAACGTATGAAAAAAAAATATTCAAAAAAAAATTTTTTTTCAAAAAAAAAATTAAAATGTACCCACTGACCTTAAAATATGCCCATATATCATTTTTTTAATTGTTGAAATCCAAGAAAATTATATGTTTTAAATGTCAATCATTGATCAACACCAACATTCATATTCATAGATCTTGTTCGTCCTCTTTAGTCTTCACACTGCTGTGGTGGACTTTATAGTCACACTTTCTTTTTCGGCTGTCTGTCAGTTTTCATTTGACAAGTACCTCCAGTTTGAAACCAAGACTGTTTACTCTCCAGAGCTTCAAAGGCTGCAGCAGTTCTGTCATCACAGCTGACTTGACAGAATGAAATTGACAGAAAGGACCGTCCTGTCCATCACAAGTAAATGTCCCTAGTGTGCACGTGGCAGTCCACCAGACAGGCACAAGAGGACTCTATAAAAAAATTGTCTCCATCACTCCCCCTCAGGTGGCTTTCTCCGAGAACGTCATTTGAAGTTGGAACACGTTTTCTTCAGCTAAAGGACAGTCCACTCTGAATTTTGATTGACCTCTGGGATAAATCACAGAAACATTTTTACTCTCATCTGATTTTTTTTTAAACAAAATTGCAGTTTTCCTTACAAATATTGTAAACAGCCATTCACAGACTTCATTCTAAGCTTGTGGCCTTCCTCCTCCGTCTAATCCCTAAAATCTACTGTGGCAGAAAAAAATCCAGTCGTGTTTTTACTCCAGCTGTTAATCCTGGCCCCATTTTTTTCAGTTTATTCTCCACTAAAACCATTTACCTCCTATGATGTTGTTCTTCTCTTGGATCCTTCTATTTGATCTTGCTACTTGTTTCTGTCCCCTCCTCCCACACACCCTAACCCCCCTCAACCCACAGACACACATCTGCCTCTCTCTCTCTCACTCCTTTCTGAAATCATTTTTTTGGTTCCTCTCCCACAGGGATGTGAGGCGTCTGGTTGTGGCCATGTCCAGAGCCAGGCTGGGTCTCTACATCTTTGCCCGAGTGGCACTTTTCCAGAACTGCTTCGAGTTGACCCCTGCCTTCAATCAGCTCACCTCTAGACCTCTGCAACTGCACATCAGGACCAACGAGTACTACGGCCAGGAGCAGCCTGTACGTAAACACACCTCTTATAGCGAAACATTTTATGCATACATTTCATACAAGCATGAGTATTTTGGTTTGTGTACTGAGTATCCATCACCTAAACCGACACCCCCTGCAGCCTCCCCACCGTGTCACGCCTGTCACACGTCTCTGTATCTCTCTCTCTCTCTCTCTCTGTCTCTCCCGCTCTCTCTCTCTTTCTCTCTCTCTGTCTCTCTCTCTCTCCCGCTCTGTCTCTCTCTCTCTCTCTCTCTCTTTTTCTCTCTCTCTCTCTCTAATCTTGCCTCTACATTCTGAATGGCCCTGAGTGCGACTGCAGCTTTAGCCACAGGCTCTGGCCTGTTAACAACATTCTACGCGCTCCATGTGTAGACACGGGGAAACACACGACCGGCTATAATTAACCCCAGAAGGTCAGAGGGCAAACTCACTCTCCCAAATCCCACCAGACCACCATACGACGGCTGTTGTCTGGTCACTGACTGGTGGGGCAACAATGGTGTCTAAAAAACCCCCTCGGTCTGGGTACTGGTGGGGCAACAATGGTGTCTAAAATACCCCCTCGGTCACACGTGTGTGTGCTTAATCTGTCCATCTTGAGTCGGAACAGAACAGAAGTCAGTATTCTGCCGCTGACACTCTTTGTCGACTGTCAGGTGCTACTTACCAACAGTGATGGAGGTGTAGCCACTAAAGTAGCGGCCTGCCCTGCAGCTGCTTCATTTTCCATATGGTTGCACACAAATTTACAGCCCTGTTAGAAAGCGAGGGGAACAGCTGCTAAAAACCCCGATGTCTAATCACAGTCAATCACCGAGAAGCACTTTCACACGGCGTAGTTTGTTACCCCACAGTTAAACAGCCATAACGTCACACTCAGTTAAGTTTGACAGTAGTGCAGCCGTCAGTGCCGGGCGAACTGGCACGCGGCCCCCCGGAGGGCTGGTGTGAGCATTACCACCAAATTTGGGAGGTAACAGCCCAGATTTAATATTCAGCTCAGCCGCTGTCTCCACAGTTTGGGGAAAGGAGACGGTGTCTGCATACTAAATATATTTACAATACAAAGTGTACAACCTTTACTCCGTCTGCAGAGGATGTCAGCACCGCTCAAACATTCAAGAACCATTTTATGATTATGTTTTTCAACAGAGACTTTTTGGACAGTTGTGACAACACTGCAGGATTATAAAGGAAGATCAATTCATCCAAAATATGTTATAAGTAAATATATGTGGGTTTTTGTCAGTTTTCAATTCTGTCCATTGTTTTTCAGCCTCATATAAAACAATAAGTGCTGCTACGCTTGATTAAACTGATAAACTGAACATGTTATGATTCTGTTTTTGGTGACTTTGGTTACTGATTTTTGTTTTTCCCCTCTCAGAGAGATGCTTCGGGACAACCTGACCAAGTTGTCAAGAACATGCCAGAGATGGCCAACCTGGTGTATAATACATACATGCACATGATCCAAACATCACAGAAGTACAGACAGGTGAGAAGAATGTATAAAGAGTATCATTGTTTTCAAAGATTTGCAGTACTGCACCAGAATCTTTTAGCATAGATGGGGAAATGGGAATATCTGATATTTAAGGTGGCACAGGGTATTTAACTGAGATACAAACTATTGACAATTACGATGTCCCATTCTACCTTCACTGGTACAGTAGGTGTTATGTAAAGAGATTGACTGAAAATATCTAGATTTGAATTCTTTTTTCCCCCCACAACATTGTGGGATTTTGTTTGCTTGTTTTAAAGCTGTTTCACAGTGTGAATCTATTCTGTGATTTTGCAGCAGCAACAGCAGTCGATGGCTCCGCCTCCACAACAAATAAAGACAGAACCCGCTGCAGAGAAGGGGGCAGCAGCCAACTCCGTGGAGCAGCAGGAAGAAACCCCCATGGAGCAGGACACGGAAGAAGTGAAGGCGAGTTTGGAGCCAAGGTCTGAGGACACCAGCGTAAAGACGGAAAATCAGGATCCAGAAGACCACACTAAGATGCCCCAACATCCGGGAAGAGACAGTGACAGTGATGGAGAGGAGAGTGGGGAGGAGGAGGAGGGGCCGCAGCAGAAGCAGTAGAGACCACTGCAGCATGGTAATGACCTGAGCTCAGACTGGGTGATTAAAAATAGATATAAATAATAAAGTGAATTAGAATGAGGTGTCAGTAGAGCCTAGATGGAACTTCATGTCCAACAATCTGTTCACTGTCAAGAACAGTCTGTAATAATGAGGACGGAATTGTAACTGACCAATCAAGAACTCTATTCAGAGTGAAATGCAGGCTTAATTTCTATCACCACAAATACGGCAGTAATGCTTGATGACATTCAGAAATATTGCCATAATGCACAGTCCTGGCTGTGTTTTAGGGAACAGAGTGATCTCTCCAGGAAAATATTTCTGTCCATTCGGTGAACTTTTGTAATAAAAATAATTTTCTACCTTTGGTTTTGTAACCTTAAAATGTTTGTTTTTAATAAAAAAAAAAAAAAAAAGGGAAAATCATTGTCTGTGATGTTTTACACGAAATAATTTTGACATTTTGACATTTTTGAGTTTTCCAGAACCCATTTATGTTCTTGTCCATCGTCTGCTGCTGCACCACCTGCTCCCCCTGTGGATGTGCATAAACCCTGAACTGGTGAGCTTTACACATACTGCAGTTTATAATTTAATGAATATATGTTTAAAAATATAAGCCAAGTTTACCCTGTTATAAGGCAGATGAGTTGGTTGATGAGTCTATCACAGATAGACTCATCAACAAATAAAAATAATAAAAAGTCTTAAAAAATAAAAGTTCAAAAAAATGAATAATAATGCACTCATTGGCCCTAAAATTTATTTTTTGTGATCTCTCTCGGTCTGGGTCTCGTTTCAAAATCTCACATGTGGTGTGGTCACTAAGGAGTACCATGGTAATCTGATGTGTTGAGGACGACTGTACATCCCTCTCTTTGGAGTGGTGTGAGTGCATGGACCCTACCAGTAGGAATTTCACAAGTCATATTGGGTAGATGGTGAAAAATTTTCATGAAAATTTTTGGAAATAAAAAAATCAAAATGTTATCTTTTCTACATGTTTCTCATCAAATTAGAGCATTTTCAAAAACAATTTAGAAAAAAAAATTTTGATTTTCTGGTAAGATCCTGACTGCATGTCATGTAGTCAAATGGTGAACAATTTTAATGAAAACTTTTGTCAAAGGCATTTTTCTTATCAAATTGGAGCATTTTGAAAAAGAATTTAGGACTTCTTTTTTACTTTTTTGGTAAAATCCTAATTTCGTGTGCCGTGGTCAGGTAAGGAAAATTATAATGAAAATTGGTTAAAAATATTTTTTTCTCTTTTTTGTTTCCCATCAAATTAGAGCATTTAGAGAAACATTTTTAGAAATTTTCATTTCGTTTTTGTCATAATCTTAACTTTTTGTATCTATTTTGGGTCAAATGCTAATAATTTGACGAAGATTTTTGGAAAATTGTTTTTCAAAGTTGTATCTTTTCTTGCATGTTTCTCAGCAAATTAGGGCATTTAGAGAGGACTTTCTGAACATTTTTTCATACATTTGTTTGTCAAAATCTGAACGTTTTGTCTCATATTTTTGGAAAAAGTCTAAAAAAATGATGAATAACCTTATAAAATTATTTTTCAAAATTGTATCTTTTGCTGGATGTTCCTCATCAAATTAGGGCATTTATATAATAAGTTTTGAAAATCTTTGTCTAGAATTTTTTGTCAAAATCTGAAGTTTTCATGAAATTTTTTGGAGTCAAATACTATTAAATTTGGATGAAAAACCTTGTAAAATTATTTTTCAAAATTGTATCTTTTCCTGCATGGTTCTCATAAAATTAGGGCATTTAGAGAAGCATTTTTTTCAATTTTTGTGTATAAAATTTTCTGTCAAAATGTGAATTTCTTATGTCATTTCCGGTCAAAAACTAAACAATTTTGTTGGAAAATGTTTGAAAAAATATTTTTTTAAATGTTGTCTTTTCTTGCATGTTTCTCAAAAATTAGGGCATTTAGAGAACAGTTTTAGAAAAAATTGTTTATAAAGTTTTCTTTCAAAATGTGAATTTTTCACCTCATTTCTGTTCAAAAAAACTAAACAATTTTGATGGAAAATGTTTGAAAGATTATTTCTAAAAATAATATATTTTCTTGGATGTTTCTCATAAAATTAGGGCATTTAGAGAACTTTTTTAGAAATATTTTTGTATGAAGCTTTCGGTCAAAATGTGAAATTTTGTGTCATTTATGTTCAAAAACTAAACAATTTTGATGAAAACTTTTTGAAATATTAATTTTAAAAATGTTATCTTTTCTTGCATGTTTTTTATAACATTGGGACATTTAGAAAACATTTTTAGAACTATTTTTGTATAAGGTTTTCTGTCAAAATGTGAATTTTTCGTGTCATTTTTGTTAGAAACCTAAACAATTTTGATGAAAACTTTTTGAAATATTAATTTTAAAAATGTTATCTTTTCTTGCATGTTTTTTATAACATTGGGACATTTAGAAAACATTTTTAGAACTATTTTTGTATAAGGTTTTCTGTCAAAATGTGA